TTTTTTTTTAGTGATTTACTCAGTTTTCATTCATTATTAAGTAGCAGTGATCAATAACTTTGGATTAGGTGGGAGGACTAAAATAGACTGATAATAATAATTCTTGTCCAATAAACTTCAGAGAAAAAAATGTTTCCCTTTATTGTTCTTCACTTGAAATTGTCCCACTTTCGTTTTCTTTTACGTTACTTTGTAGTAGTACAAACCAGTTTTTAGTTATTATTTCCCAAATAACATGTTTCAATCATGATGAATAAGCGCTAATTTTAATTTATTTTGATACTTTGCGAGATTGATAAAATGTAAAAATATGTTTTGTACGGAAAATTAAATTTTGACTAAACAAGAAACAGAATTGTGATATGTAAAAATATGTACAATGAACCTTGAAGGAATTTCGCTGACGAAGGTGCGTGAATCCCAAGTGGAATTCCAGCGACTCAGAATTACCTAAATGATAAAATTCGCAACACATATTATTACATCTAAATTGCATAATTTGCTAATAGTCTCGTTATCTGTCAATAAAACAATAAACTAAAAAAAGCAATATTGCTTAAATGTGTGTTTTTTTGTAAGCTTTAAAAGAGTGCAAATGAGGAAGATGTCTGCCAGGCGCCATGATCTTCTGTTTGCATTAGCTAGCAATTACGCTCTCTCGAAAACTTATTCACCATGAAAGTTCAACAAGAGCCGCCCTCTTAACACGGATAATTCATTATCTAAACTGAACCGCGTGTTGGTTTGTTGCACGTTGTTATACGACACGTAGACACGACAAAAAAGGACACACTATGTGAGCGTATGTTCATTTTTACAGCGTTCATAATTATTACGCCGAATGCACGCTCATGAGGTTGTCTCATTCGATAAATGATTTGTAAACATACTACGTACAATTAGAAATTCATAGAACACTCGTCTTCGAAAAGATCGTCTTCACTCTTTCTCGAGAAAAATATTTTGATCCTTGATTTGCAAGTCACTGCATTTTTTTCTATATCATATTTTATACTCCAACCTCAAGTCTAAACACGATATAAAAGAGCTTATAATGTTTTCCTTAAATATTTATTTGTTGTTATTCGGAGAATATTTGACAGTTCTCATGTGGTCGTGAAATTTGTAGCAATTATGACACCTAGACGATAACCAACTGAATCAATAATAATTTCTTTGTTTATTGTGGGAAATTACCAATATTGAAATGAGATCCGCTAAATATATTAGCAAAACTAGAGATTCTCAACGACATACGTCTCAATAACGATTTTTTTACTTTTGGTTTCAACTAAATGACGCACTTTCGTTAAAAATCATCCTGAATCAGAAATTAAATTTAAAAACCAAACAATAACTCAATGTTACAAACATCGTATCACATGGTTCCGTCATTGAACCACTTTTTTACATGTTGAGCAAAATTTACTCTTTTAAATTATTTGTAAACAAAACAGCTTCAAATACCTAAGTATATTTAAATATTTGATTATTGTTCATATCCAGCTAACAGGTCCGCTTTCCCTCAGAATTGGTCCTAAAGATTTCTGATTCCAGTCGTTATGAGTTAAATATTCAGTCATAAAACGAATTTTACGTAACCAAAAAACAAATTTCGCTACATTCTAATATTTACTTCATCAAATTATTTTTATTCTTAATCGTTAAAAGTGTCTACAAAAATATTTTACGATAGTGAAGCAGCGAAATTCCTTCGCAGGTGAAAGTTGTTTATTTAAATAATTTAATTATTGCCTTCCCAATGTACGCGAATCTGCTATAATGCAATTTAAATTCCTTAAGAAATTTATTGGCGTAATTTACTTTTCGAGTTGCCAGTTCCGGAACTCAGGTATTTCCATACAGTTCCATAAAAATCAGTGAAACTTTGTAAACACTAAACAACAATAAATTTAAGAAAATTTTGCGTACGTGTTAAAACAAAAGTTTTAAATAAGTGAATCATCCGTGTTATAGTTTCTAGTAAATCTTAAAAAAACCCAGTTATATTGTTTTTATTATAATGAGATTTTGCAAGGTAGTTAGAATTCGGAATGAGTAGCCGCGATGTCGATCGAATTTTAACAGCTCCTTTTTACGAGCTGTTCAGGATGGCGGCCAACATTGTACTTGATCAAAAGAACTGATGCCGAACCTACGGTGTATAACTCACCTGACCTGAGGTCAGGCGTAGGTGGCCACACTGACGTTTCGTGAAACACTGCCCGATTTCTCGTACATCTGATCACAATAATTGACCAAAATTCCCCAAATGCCGCATTAATGAAGTGCTTCGACATCTTATACAGCTAGATTGCAAAATCCTTAATAGATATATCTCTTTTTTATGCTATAACATTGAAATAGCTAAACTATAAAAACGATTTCTCCAATTTCCTGAAATTTAATACGAAATCAACTCAACGAAAAGATGCTCAGCGAAAAAGGTTGACGTTAATAAATACTTTTTATTGGTTGTGCTGAAAGAAAATATTTGGCGAAAATTTGAAGTTGTTTTGTCAAAAATTGAGAAAAAAGTGGCTTAAATTGTAATTAATAGCTTTTTGTAGGTACAAAACATTTTGATCTAATAGCAGAATGTTTAGTACAAAGAGTGACAGCCCTGAATATAACGGGTGTGTTTTTTTTTTAATTTGGTGTCAAAGCTATCCATGAAAGTTCGATTGTGAACGAACCATCCTATTGAAAATTATTATTCTGACATTTGACAGCTCGTCGGGCATATTAAAAATTGTGGTCCGTTCACAACACACTCATATCACCGCCAACTATATGACGCCAAAAAATAAACACTCTTTAGTATACAATTTATTTCCATATTTAATTTAGAATTCTTAAGTGTTTTTGCTTTTGAAGTCAATAATATTTAATAATTAATACCCATATAATTATAATACGTCATCAATTTTCTTTGTGTTAGGAAAAAACTGTAAAGTAATAGACCTTTTTAGAGAACCACACACTGTCGTGAAGTCTTGAAAATTAGAAGAAGTAAGAGATCATTGATTCATTGTTCCTCGTAGATATGCGTACAAATAGAAAGAACCGTATTGCATGAACACCTTTTTATTACAAATAGGAATGTAATCCAGAAGACGTCGAAAAATAATTTCGGATTGAGTGGCAGAATTTAATTACATATTTCTTAAACGAGTGTCTGTGAGAAACGCCATTTATCATGTAACTAAACATGACGTGAGGGTGTCAAAAGGCGCTCACTATCTTCAGTCGGCAAAGTCGTGTTCTTAGCTTCAGAAATGCACATAATCGAGCCGACACGGCTATGATGTTAAACCCTTAAACAAATACTAATCTTGCGACGATAAACCTGGGAAGAGCGGTCACTCACATCCACCACAACGAACCAAAGCAGGTTTTAACGTCAAATGGAATTAAAAAGTCGAGAAAAAAACGTTGAACCCTTAAGAGTGTTTTCAATTTCAATCACAAGTTCACAAAGCACTGAGCTTTGCTAGTAGAGAACTTGTAATTAATGTAGTAAAGAAATGTATAGTTTCAAGAAATTACATCTAGATAAAAGAGCATGAAGGCCGGTAAGTTTAATTAAGGTAATAAATCTAATTTATTGGTTATATTATATGAAATGCCTCGGCATTCATGAGTTTCAATTTTATTTCTTGAGGCATAGCGAATGCATTTCAATCGACCTTTTACACGGCAAATGTTAGATGGTCCACTGTTTAACTTGATTGATATTGTGTTAGTACGTGATATGATTTCATATACACTCATACAGGCAGATTTAAAAAGCTTTAATTATAGGTTCGTGAGGTAGGACGGCCCTGAGAAAAAGCCTCACCAAGGAAATGCCGCTCCATGGCCAGACATCGATATACCAGGAGTCATTAATAAAATTAATCATCTGCTTAATATGCACGAAAATCCTTCACGACAGTAACTTTCTGCTATTCGTTCCAGCTACCTATTTACCTGAACTGTTTAAAAAAAAGATTAATTTTTTACATATTTGCTGGGAGAGTTGTGATATATTAAAATTCTATCAAAGTTCAGCACTTCCGAGATTGGGGTTGAGAGCGCGTTGCATGCCCCTCCTGTGGCAAATGCAGCAGAATAGCTTGTGTAAATCGTGCTTCCAATAACAGGGTCATAAAGAAAATTCAGCCAACGAAAAATTGATCCTTCTTTCGTGTAGAAAAATAAGTATGACGAGAAGTATAGAAAGAAACAAGTTGAAAGTGAGCAAAAATAACAAAAGTCGTGTAACCGAAATTGCGAGCTCGTCGCCGTGGCGCCTCCTGCGAACTTTATTGAAGTATGGGCCGGTGTTTGCGACTTTCAGGTGACCGGCATCTTGTGGTCATTGACTTTGCTGAAAGAAGCGCCATGTCTAGACTAGGAAACAAATGCTTTTATTACATAACTTTAAAAAGTCATTATTTTCAATAGTATTGTTATGAATGCAGCGCGCCACAAACAACTCCTTCCGCTGACTTATCGGAACCGATTTTTCAGGTATATAGGAAGTTTCATGATAGATGGTTTCGCGAACGAAAATAACACGCCAAAACGTAAACACAGCGACATTTTTGACGATGTAAGATGTAATTCATTCATTCGGGCAATTTTTTTCTCAAAATTCGTGCTTTTGTTTGATGATAACGTTTGAGAATGAACGTAGTGGCCAAAGACTCAGGAATGTCGACGACAAACAGTGATGGTGGCTAAGTACACAACACCGGCTGTCCACTGTACTGCTCCTAAACCGCTAAAAGTGTTTGTCTAAGCATTCATATTAGAAGGTTACTGCTACAGGACGTTTTCTCAGAAAAAACTTCTGTAGCCGTAAATATGTTTGTATACATACACGGACACACGCATACATATACAAATTTGTGTACTATCCTTGCATTGACGTGTTGATTTGTACCTGTTACTTTTAAAACAAAATATTTATTTTCATCATTCTAGCATATTTAACTCTGATTTTTTTGTTCCAGGTTCCGGGCAAAGAATCTACATCAAATAATACTAGGAACTTCCGTTGTGACAACCCAATTTCGAGATAAAAGTGCAGTTACATAAGTGCGTGACTTAATCCATGAAAATTTTTGACTAAATCGTGATTGATAGCAAAACACTTGGTCTTGTGATCTGATAATTCTCTCGCTACTTAGAGCAGCTTTACACCTCCGCTCTTTACTCTTACATTTCGTGTAGTTTTTCCCGGATTAAAAAACTAAAATCAATATTAGAGACTATTAAAAAGTCAAGGGCAATACGTCAAGGCGAAATCTGGCGCCTAAATACAACAAGGATTACGTAAATAAAGAGAGTTCATGGCATTCATGTGGGGTCCGGGCTCCGGGTTGTAGGTTCACCAGTTTTAACTTATTTTTAAGATATCTACAGAAAATAACAAGTTGAAAAAAATAAATAGAATAAAAATACTAGAAACATTTGTTATGCAATTAAAAATGCTATAAAACAGGAAAGAATAAACAAAATCGTCATATAAAATTTCGACATGGAATGTCAATATGAAATTACTTATGAACAATATTGTGGTTATCTTAATTGAAAACAACTTCTCCTCTATGACAAAAATGTCTCCGACAGTTGAACAATATTAATTGTCATTGTATTGATTAAGTTATTGTTGAATAAACCTTTTATTTTAGTAAACCTCGAACTAATTTTTTTACGAAGTAGTACGTACTTGACATTTTTTATACTAAAATTTTGAGATTCTTTATCATGTAACTACTGTTTGTAAGTAAAAGTATACAATGTAGTTTAAGTAGGTATGTAAATAAAAGTACAATAGCATTCCTTTCAAATTACTATATTTTCTAAACCTTATTTTTGTTCTTGCCACAAATTCCGTCATTATCTAAAGTAAATTGTATCAAAAGTAAGGAAATGCGTGCGGAGACCACACATTTCATACCACATTTGACGTTTATAAAACTTTCTCATAGACCTCTACAATTATTATTGAACCAAGACAAAAGTTACTATTCTTAAAAATGTCTGTACAAAAAAAAACACTTTAGTCTTTTTCTATCAGCTACTGTTCCTTTAGTTACAGAAAAAAATTTGTCAAAAAAATTTTTAATATTAAAAAAAACAACATATTTAAAATTCGACATTCACTAAAGCAATGCATACAACCTCCTACATCAGAACATTTTTTGTAAAATATGGAAAAATTTGAAACTCGGTTGGTAGTCGTGCAGTAAAAGAAGTTGTCAACAATAAGTTTAGTTGCATGTCTTTAGCTCGGTATTTTATTAGCCCTTATTTTACAAACTAGAAAGGTGTACAAAAAGTTTTATTGCTTGAGAAGAAAGTACCTGTAAGACCGTCATGTAGCCGATCGACATAAAATTGTATTTTGAAAACACCCGCTTACCTCTTCATTGATTATTCATGTTCCCAAGTCGTTCAAGAGAAACAGTTCGACTTTATTAAGAGAATTCCCTTGCGGTTGATAAACTAAAGCCCCTTGATTACGATTATTTGGGCCGCTTTGTGCGATTTCGCGGCTGAATGGGCGGTCCGTGCTCAAGATTTCGTGCAAAATGTATATTATTACAGATATTGCAAATACCTGAGATGGCAATCACCATTTCGACTCGTTCTTGAGCTGTTGACGCCTACCTTTTGGGTTTTTCGGAAGCCCTCTATATTTTATTTCAATAGGCTGTCACTTATTCAAATTAACACGAATGCTCGAATTAAGGCGAATTAAGCGAGAACCGGTGGGAAGAAGTCGACGAGAGATCTTTAATTGGACGAGATAAAACAAAAATTACGACAAACATAATAATTATTTTAATTAAAATTGGAGGTGATGGCGAGGCATACCATTGGGCGGTAAAACACGGCGGCTTGCGCCTTTAAGAGTGGTTTGCAATTTGCATTCCAACGTATGGATTATGCTAAAAGAAACCTGTCGAGTTGCACCAGAAGCTGGACCCGCCTCACATGACTGACTGATATTTCGTACAATTTATTGCCGACATGGTCACTGCGCGCCAGTGGATTGGCGAGCTCGATATTACATACAGAAACGGCTTTTTAATATGCAGAAATGTCAGCGTAATTCTCGACGACGATAAAATTCGACTTTAATGCTGTTAACTGTTAACAGATAAACGACAAGTGTAATCCCTAGATGTAAGTAAACCATGCATGACAAAAAGCGATTTACCACACGGAGGGACTTTACACCACCTGGAATTATCTCAAATATCACCTTATCCAAATGTCGTAAATGTCAGCGTTTCCTCATTTACTGCACCGAGCAATATAATAAATCAAAGCTAAACTCTTGATGAAAAGCTGATAATCTTCATGGATTTCCCTAAACAACTCACTGGTATATCGCCACACAGACTACAAGAATGTAAAAATGTTAAAACTTTTGAACTAATTTCCATAAAAGTAAAGTGTCAGACTTCTTAAGAAATATTTCATTCATTTATTTCAGTTTTGACATCTCTCGATAAATTGTTTCACATAACTTTGTTTCTTTCAAAAAGGGGAATACGAATAAAAGAATTCTGAAAGATATAATTTTTCAAATGTGTTTGTCGTATGCAACATCAGATATAACACTTTGGTTCCTGTGTGACTGTGATCGTCTTTCAAACCACAATAATTTATTCATCCAAGGTAAAGTAGAGCACCAAATTTGGTGGCGAACTGACGTTGCCAAAAATGACTGAATTTACTATTAAACGTAGCTATTATAAAAATATTGATCACAGGCGTCTTAATAAAATGTATTATTCTTTTAAAAAAATTATAAAAAGTAGGTACTCATATAAAAGATAGAGAATGATGAACAAATTATTAATTTGTTAACGAATCATGAAAATAATTTTTAACAATCCTCGTTTCAAAATCACTAAAGCAAAATTTGCTTTCATCGCTACTATCGCTGGTGATGAAAAGTTGATTACCGATTACATACATCTAAATGATTTTCCCTACTTGGCTTGGTCTTCATTTGCGTTCACCCGATTGCAAACTTTTGTAAAATGACAGCTAAGAAAATTTTGAACAAAAAAATGCACGCCCATGTATTTCATTATCTTAACCAAGTGTCTTTTCTGTCACTGTCAGTTCACCACCAGATATGGCTCTCACAAAACTTAAAAAAAATAATCACAAGAACTAACTTTTTATATTCTTTGACTGCTAAATGTTTTATAAAATCAATCATAAATGTCTCTAATAGAAAAGACGTTATAGCAAATCACAGTATTTTTTGTACTTGTAGTATTTTCCATTATATTTTTTCCGCAAATTTTGCAAATTTTTCCAATTCATAAAAATGGTGAAAAACCATGTCAAATACGCTTTCTTGGTTAATTTACAACCAAAAATTTGATCACAGTCAAAACATTTGAAAAAGGATTTTTTTAAATACATCTTTAACTAAGTAATACTTTTGTAATTTAAAGTTTATCTCTCATTGTAAATTCATAACTGAAGAGATATTGACAAGATCACGGTTAAAACACCAATAATAATTACAAATAAAAAGAAAAAAAAGAAATAACTACTTATTTTCAACATGTAATACTTACTGTACAGTTATTGCTATTACGACTTTTGTGTGAATTGTTTCTTAAAATAAAAACGCGTACATAAAATGGTCGGAAATTAAATTTCAAAGTGTATTAAAAAAATAAACAAATGTAACCATCAAGTACCTATACAGAAGGCGTGTAACTTAAGAACTAACATGAAAATGGTTGTACGAATTTAATTTGTTATTGTTTCACATTCCAAAACAAACAAACTAGAGATTTAGTAACACAAAGGACAAACACACATGTAATAAAAAAATCTATTAAGTGCTTATACTGACAAATTTTAGGAAGGAAGTCATAAAGACATTAAAAACAAAAAAATAAATAAATAAAAATCCGAGTTATTGCATGATTTATTCTTGTAATTTTCTGATATCTAACATCCTTATGCTAACTAACCACTTGTTCATTCCTGACTGATTTATATATAGATGCATGAAAATCTCTGAAAAACAAGATTATTGTCATCATTTTTATTAATAAAGTCTTATTCTGAGTGATGCATTAGGCATGTAATGAATTAAAAATGATAATGTGAGTGTAAATGTCTGTAAAATATTATTTTTGAATTTAAATTCGAAGTAGGTAAACATTGGTTTATTGATTTAAAGAGCAAAAAGTGTCAATGAATATTCTTGTGAATCAAATAAATTATTCGTATTAGTGAATGGTCGTAGTGTCGGGAAGCCCCAGTGGTAAAATTTCAAGTCTCAGTGTTAGTTCCGGAATGTGAACAGGTACACTACCTGTTAGCAGGACGGTGCGATTGACGTCAATTTGTATTTAATTTTGCTTGAGAAAACAGCACAATGGCAGTTATTTGGGGTTGTTCCTCACCCGGACCTAGTAGAGCACCGTAATTGGCTTTTACAACCGAAAAATCTACCTGTAAAACTGGAGGTGTTGTTTGATTTTTACACCTGGAGACAGTACAGGGATTTCTTAGAAAGCTCATTGTCGGCTGCATTGACTTGTAACACTGGAATAAGACGTATTACCGATTCTCTCCTTTGCAAGGTCTGTACGGCTTTATTTTAGCCTTCACCAACTCTCTCGCGCCGTGTTTGCCGAGGCGGTGTCGATAAATAAATAAAGATAGAACCGTTTATTGTTATATGAGGTGCAAAAGTCGCTTTTATTACCAACGCCCATTCATAAAAGCTCGACAAAAATTGCTTTTCCATTTTACACCGACTCGATCGGTGCTATCGGGGACGAGCACTTTGATATTTCATAAGTGGCACTTGTTCATCGACAAGCTTGCTGACAGTCGATAACAAGTACAACTGTCATACACACCACTGCATAGACATAAACCGTATCTCAAGCGAGGATTTAATTTACATCAAATAAACAACTTCACTTGCTTCATTGTTATGGATAAATTTCCAACAGTCATCTTGGTAAATACTTGGCCCTATGAACGCGACTTTCCAAATTAGCCATCAAACAATAACCATGTATGCACAGGCGCACCTATTATATCATTTAACATTTATTGAACTAAGACAATCAACATAAATATTAAACAAAGTTTTCGGACAACTGCAAGATATAAATCAAATTGCTATTGTTATTAATTAAGCTTACTTAAATCAAATTCCACTCCTCCAAAAACTTTATACTTTACGGATATTATCGCATCTTGTAACACAATAGACTATCCATTATTCAGTGACAACAGTCGCACCAAATCAAAGTTGCTACCTAATAAGTAGCACTGAACAAGCCCAAACTAATTCTTTCATAGTTTTGATAATAAAATGTAAGAAAGAAAACTTTTTTCAAACTACATTTCATGTAACTTTTTGCAAGAAGGCTGTTAGCCTCTATATAAAAACCAGTCTATGTTACGTCAAATTACAAGAAAGAGAAGAGACATCCTTTATTTAATAAATATTGTTTTTCCATCAATATTTAATTTTCAACTCTGCAAAGAATCTAGACAAAAGATTTTTACTGTAACCAATCAGTGGCGGTGATTGACAAATTGTGGCCAAGACGACAGCCTCAATAAACATCCATGACACAACTGAATGTTAATGGTCATGGTCGATGATAAATGTCTATAGTACCTTACAGGTATCGCTGTGATCCCATGACCAATTTCATAGAAAGTAAATTAGACAGTTAAATTGATATTTTCCATTCCTCCCAAATGGTTCTAATAAAATAATAAATCCAGCACGAAATAAAAAAAACAGATTTAATTTGAATAGAA